CCAGGGGGAGCAAAGGCAAGGTGAATCGACTCCATTAGGGAACCAGGACCCCAAGTCGAAAGGCAAGGTGGTCGCTGAAGAAGGTAACTTGAAGGTACTTTTCGAAAGCCTTTAACAAACCTTGTTTGAAGACTCTACCTCTCAGGTAGTGATCACTTCAGAATATCAACTTTATATCCCATCAACAACCTGTGGTCGACTGGAGCGGGTATCTGATCAACCCAGCTCTTTTGCTCCAACAGACTAGCAGATGTCTCAGCTAAAGGAGTAGCTCGACCAGACTAGAGTAAAAATTCCTCTTCGTACCTCTAGTGGTGGTGAGTTTGACTTCCTATCTGAAGCTAAAAGACTCGAGGCATTAAGGGCTAAAGAAGAGCTAGAGCTTCAAAAGAAGCAGACTGAAGACAGCTTAAAGCTGGCCAAGTCACTAGCTGCTAAAGTCCTTCCTAAGAAAAAGTCCAAGAAAATGGTGAATCCTGTCCAAGCCCAAACTAGACTTCTTTCAATGGCAGAAGCTGAACACAAGAAGAAGCTGAAGCTAGAGGATAAGGATAAACAATGGAGCGAAGCAAAACTGAAAAAGAGACTCACTCCCCGCCCAATCATCAGCGTTAGCATCAGCGGACGATCTAAAGACGGTGGAACACTGGTCTCAATGCTCATTACCAGGGACAATCTTGATGCCGTTACCGAGTACCCTTCCTACCTTGGCCGCTATGGATACAGCGAATGGATGGAGATCAGACAAGCCATTCAACAATCTAAGTCGAGACACAAGACACTTATCGATGACACAATCAACGAGCTCATCAAAAGGATGTCCAGGTATGTCAAGGTCCCTAACCGGCCAACTCTGAAGAAAGGTGGGAAGAAGAAACTAAAGCTCTCTGATCCTAATGATGGACCATTCCTAAGGAACAAACATGAAACAAGGTTCTCCTTAGATGAAGTCCTGAAGGGTCATATGAGTACATACATTTCTATGCTGAATCTTGACTTGCCAGATAAGGGT